CAATAAGAATTTCTAACTTTCTTTAATCTCGAATCAATATGATTACTCCAACCTAACTTTATACCTAACTCTGTACCTAAGCACTTAAATAAATTAACGTACTCTATTTTAACATTTTTATAACTAATCTCTGGTTTCTTAACAGCTACTGCAGAATGTACTAACATTGATTTTGTTTTTGATATGTTTACAGGTAGAATGTGATCATCCGAAAATTTTTCAAGAGCTTTTAAAACTACCTTAGCTTGTGTTTCAATGTATTTAATATTGTCGCTCAATCTTTTCTCCAATGCTCCTTTGATGATCATCGTCAAGTTATCTGCAAACAAGTGACTTAATATTTGAGGAAAATAAGATGGTAAAAAATGTACGTGTATTCTGAATAACAGGGAAGCCAATGCACTGCCTTGTGGTGCACCTGTTAATATCTTGATTAATCTTGATTGTTTACTTCCATGACTAATTCTCATCCACCTGTTTTGTAACCAATTGTAGATCCATTTCGTAGTTCAATTGGCATGTTCAGGTTTTCCAATGTATTGAATAGTGCTGGCCACCACATTCTGTCGTAGGCTGTTGCGAAGTCCACAAATATAGCAAGTGCTGGTCTGTTACACGCAGCTACCGTCAATCTCAAGTCCTCAATAATTCCTAAAATCCTTGTCTGTAGTCTTCGTTCTGATGTAAAATCCGATCGTTCATCCACGTAAATACCTTGATCTTTACACCAGTTTTCTATCCTAACCCCATTACACGCTCAAAAACCTTAGCTAAGTTAGGAAGAAGAGAGATAGGTCTCAATCTGTCCACTGTTGGAAAAGCGCCGTCCTTAGAGAGAAAAATTCCTTTAGCTATTTTTCCTTTTTCAAAAAATTCTCCCTTCTCTCCACATTTATTAAAAAGTATTGTTATCGTATTTAATTATTCTGCTGGTAGTTGTTTTAGTAGAAAAGCGGATGTATCTACACTATCTAATGATTTTTTCGACTGAAATTTTTTCCACTGTTTTTCTATTTCTCCCCGTAGGATCTTTTTCAGTGGAATATTATTTTCGTTTTTAATCTTTTCGTATTCTTCTAAGCACCCTAAGTGAAAAGGATTTGTCACGTCGTGTTTCGGCTCGGAAAAATGTTTTTCATAGTATTTGGCAAGTCTTTTTACAATGTTTTCATTCTTTTTAATTATTTTATCACCGTCTTTTAAATCTCGGAATGACGGAGTAAAAGATCGAAACACATTCCTAACGTGAGACCAAATATTATTTCCTTCTTTCATGTGAGCTATTTTCTTTTCTCTTCTAGCTTGCTCAAATTTAACTTTCTCATCTATATAAGTTGCTTGCCAATACTTATAGTTTTCATAATCTCTTAAATAACGATTTTTTCTAAATTTACGCTTATACCTATTTACTGTTCTTACTAAATTAACTAAGTACGGCGGCCACGGAGGACGAAAAATTTTCACATTCTCATATACAGTACACCTATCGGCGAGAACAGATAAAAACAGTGAGAAAAGTTCGAAGAAGAAATTATAATCGGTATTATATACAAAAGCATTCCAATAGGGATACACTACTTTTAAAAATAAATAAAATACTTTCCAATTCGTTTTTTTAAAAACTCCATTTTCTCCAGCCGTAAATGGAGTAAAAAATAAAACTGGATAGTGGTCAGAAGTTCCTTCGTTAAGTCTCTCCACTGTCCAATGATCATTATCTCTTCCGATTCCAAAGTCAATAACAGACTTAGATTTTTTAGAGGTCGGATACATAGGGTGAATGGTTTCAAACCCGTTCTCCTGCATCCACGAATCTAATCTGTTTCCACTTACATTATTATTCTCACAATTCCATTTAGTATTCTTTGCATTAAAATCTCCAAAAATAAAAAGATGTTTCTCTTTATGTTTATCGAACGAGTCTAAGGGTGGTGCACAGTTAGGGGGCACATAGATCCCTGCAACAAAAATTTTCTCTTTCAACAATTCAATCTGAAGAAGGAGAAAATTACTAGCCTTATCTACTACGGTACACTTTAGCTTCTGGTGAACCAGAACAGCAACGCCTCCAAGACCATTGGTTCCCTCCTGACTATACCACGTATATGATGGCACTGAGGGCAGTTTACGTATCTGTTTATCAACTCCGACAAGAATGAAAACATGAGGACAGTGGGAAGAAAGAAGAGAGTCAAAATCTGTAAGATGGGTTGACAACCCTTCGCAATTCCATAAAAGAAAAGTCGAATTTTCAGAAGAAGCTACAGGTCTCTCTTTTTTCCAGATAGCACTCAACTCTCCAATACTCGCTCTCTCATTCCACTCGCGTATTAAAGAAGAAAAAAGCACTCTTTCACCATTGTTCCTTTCATATTGGTTTCCAATTTCCAGACTGACTAATGGATCACAGTATTTGAAATCAGCACTAATCATTATCGTTTTTGAACAAAGTATCTAATACTTGGATGAGAGTTTCATTTTGTTTTCGAAGGAGATGAGAGAGATTTTGCTGGTGAACATTGAATTCATTCTGAGATTCATTTAAATATCCAATCTGTTGTGAAATTTGTTGATGAATAAGCCCTAGCTCAGTATCATTTGAGTAAGAGTGAAGTCTGTTGATCGCAAGAGCAACACTTGTAGCAGTCTTTATAGAAGAAGAGAAAATAGATTGATTAATAGCAGTGTTCATTGTTGTTATCATCTCTTGTTGAGTTTGTTGAGATTGTTGAAGAAATCATCCATGCGGTTTTCATTATACTAAGATTTTTCTGGTGCTTCAGTTCTATTAGTTGTTGAGCCTCTACATGTTTCCTCTGTAAATCTTACAATTCATCTGAAAACGATTTCATTATTTCACTCATATTATTATTCTTTGCTGAGTTTATTGTTGTAGAAGCCGTTGTGAGGGAAGGATGAAAAGAAGGCCAGGCAGCTTGATCGTTTCTGTCTTAAATTTGTTGTGGGATTCTTTGCTGCTGCAGAAGTTGAAGACGAGCTTCTTTATTATATATTGATTTTGATCGACTGCCTTCCTCACGATAAGCTGTAGGTATGAAGAGTTGCACGTCTGCCGGCAGTCTTTCTGGAGGACGTCTTAAGACTTCAATCAATTCATTTCGATAATCAGCGATTAGAGGACATCTAAAGTCGGTCGATACATGTTGACCTCCACAATTGTGGCAGCAAATTGCACATTCTTTATGTTGTTGTATATTAGATCGGTCGCCACCGCATCTTCGACAAATGTCAAAGGTAGAATTTTGACAGTTTTTCTTCACATGTCCAGGTTTATTACATCTTCCACAGATAAGTATTTTTGGAGAAGGAAGATATTCGTCCACGTCGTAGAGTTGTCCTTGTAAATTAATCTTACCTGAATTTAATAAACTATCTATTTCATTCTTTTGAAGGAATTCAATTTTCACATGTCGACTGCGTTGATTCGTTGCTCCTGACATAGAGTCGATTGCAAATACACTTTCGAAACGAGAGTTCAATTCATCTTTTACATCATCATTAGTAACCAAATTTTTGACATATTTTATTAAAGCGATGTGTTGTGGTGGAAGATGGGCTGGTAGATGGGGAATGATTGTAGTATTATTTAATGTTTTAGGGTATCTCTCTTGTTTGCATAAATAAACGTATAATTCTGTTGTTTTAATTACCATTTGGACATTTCCTTGAGGATCAATCCACCATAAATCTACCAACAATGGTTTTGAAAACATTGGATTTTGAGTTGTAAAATCTACTTTAATGTATTTAATCAAATCATTTATTAATTTTACTCCATCTTTCTTATCATTTAATTTCGGTTGGCATTCTGATTTGAACGGTGTATAGTGGTATTCAGCCGCATAGTTCATTGCGTGGTTTGACAGATGTATACGATTTTCATTGATATTGTTATTATTTTGTTGTTGTCTTGCGTTGTTTATAGTTTCCTATTAACACATATTGTAGAACTTTTCACGGTGCATCGAATGGTGTATGAATGATTAGAGATCATGTTTAGTTTCTAAGAAGAAAGCTAAAAGGAGTTCGCTTAGCATAGCCTTGATCTATGGAAAAGTCTAGTATTAGATTTATAAAACATGCTGCCCCACTTCGTTAAGTTTCTTATTATTGAATGACTCCCGTTAGGGAAAACGTGTCAGACTCTATACAACGAGGGCAGTTGTCTCGATGGCAAGTGGCCGGCAATCGACTTTCAAAACTAGTTCCAAGTGGATATAAAGAAATTTATTTGGAATCAAAAACTTTATTCAGAAAATGTTCTTTGTCTGTGATTTTTGATATTTTACTTTTCAAATTAATGGTCAACGGCAAAAGTCCAAAACTCGAAAAAGTTTATATTTACTTGCGTAAAGAGATTTTTCTAACCACAAATCTAGACCAAATACCCAAAATCTGACTCTGCTAGCCTCTAGCCACATGTGTAAGCTTCCCGAGCTCTCTGCGATGTTTTTGTTAGCAAGAAATCTTCCGGCTATAAACTTGCGTTAAGGTGAAACTCGCTTGCGAGATTTGGTGGCGGTTTAAATGTCATGTCTAGGTCTGTCATACCTATGTCCTTCGGCAGTCGATCGAAATGTGCGTCGAGAAATCTGCTTGGGTATCCGTTTAGACCTAGACGCGTACGGATCATTCTTTTGATTCTACTTGAATATACCACCTACTTGCGCTGTTGTCGATCATTCATCATCATCACCGACAACCAAAAACTACGGTACGAAGTTGTTGCGCATACCACAGCGACGAGCTTTTGATCATTAGCAATCGATTTTAGATTTTCATTTCCTTTCCGGCATCTTTTAGGGGTTTATCTCCCGAACTCATATCTTGTCGGAGCTATAATCAGCCATTGGGCTCACGGATCTCTTTCCAGAGTATAGATTAATTACCGAGCTCGTACGCCTCATTTATGCGAGTGGAATAGTTTTCTTCCAAAAGGAGCTCCTTTCCCTCATTTTACAGTTAATTAAGCACAACGAGGTCAAATATCTCTATCTCCCTAGCGCATCTATCAGTTTATTCAGTCTACAAAGTATTATCCAATCAGAGCTGATCATCTGCATACTTTATGACCTCTGCGCAGTACCGCACAGGGACAAAATAGTTGCAGTTTGCAGGTTAGCCAAAAAATCTTTTGTTCTGCAAAACCAGAGGCTGAGGGTTTTTTTTTCCTCGGGATAAGCGAAAATTTGTTTTGTCAAAAAATTTTGAAAAACACGTTGTCTGACTCAGAATTTGATGCTGATCACGAATACCGCAACCACTGCTCGAAAAAATGCGGCCTGTCCAAATGGCAATAAAAATAAAATTTTACTCAAAACCCGAGTTTTTCGAGTTTTTGCCCCAAATTTTCGACAAAAGTGCTCTTTTGTTGTCACATGACTTTTCCTATGTGTAACTCGATATCCTGAATCCGAATATGCTAAAATTGAAAAAGTTTGGCAAACGTTTTGTCTAAAAACCGCCGAAAACCTGAAGGATTTGGGGTTTTTAAGGTTCTGGACCTCGAAGGGGCACCTAGCAAGTTTGGACCATAAAGATCCTTTTACCGGAGATAGATGAAGACATGCTTTTTCCAACGATGTGCTATTCAAGGCAAAATTTGATGTAGAAAGTGGGGTTTCGAGCCTTGAAACCCATTGTATGAGGGTTTTGAGGTTTTTTGCGGAAATTTCTCACTTTCTAGCCACGTTTTTGGATTAAAAACCTTTCTTTTAGCAATATATCACTGAATTCACTTCTCACAACAATATATCTAGTAGAAAACGCACATTTTCTTTCTTTTCTCATTTTTTTGACACCTGGGTTATGTGTCGATGATTAGTTAAACGAAGAGCAAAATATATGTTTCGTCAACGCATGTGATATCGATTATTCAGTTTTTCAGAAGGGTCCAGAACACGTTGATGTTAGAAGAACGATAAAGAAATTCACAACACTTTCGCTTAAGTTCCCAAGGATGTAATTTCATATGAAATTAACTAGTTGCTCTTGCTGGTGGAACGCCCGCTTCTCCAGCAAGAACAGCTAGCTAAAAGAGTAAAAATTAACGGGTGTAGCGAGCTGCAGCGGGTGAAACCCGTTAACACGCTTCAATGCTAGCTGCAGCGGGTAAGAAATTTTGCCAGTATAAAACAGTGTGCAAGTAGGTGTAGCTAGCGATTTATTGGGCGCTGCAACTAGTCAAACTGTTCTCCATAATCTATTCAATACCCGCTGCCCAACTAGCTGCACCGCCCAGTAAATCGCTAGCTGCAACGGCTGCTGAATCGTACGCTACAACCACTCGAACTGTTCTCCATAATCTATTCAATACCCACTGCCCAACTAGCTACACCGTCCAGTAAATCGCTAGCTGCAGCTACTTTTGGTTGAAACTAGCTGCAACGGCCGCTGAATCGTACGCTACAACTACTCGAACTGTTCTCCATAATCTATTCAATACCCGCTGCCCAACTAGCTGCAGTGTACTAAGAATCGCCGGCTACAGCTAGTAATACTGTGGATAGCAGCTGTTACATTTTATTATCCGCTGCAACGCTCGCGGTAGTGGCGGTTTTACGTACCGCTAGAGTTAGTTATCTATAGCTAACGACGACATATGAATTTGCAGAATAGTCCGGTGAGATAGACATGTGTTTACAGAGACAAACAGCTACCTCACTAGTACTACGCTGCAAAATTCAAAGAATAATAGACGAAGTGTTCTTTTACCTAAAATGAATAGTAAAAGGAAACAACTATAAAACCTTCTAATGTGACACATTCCGATGTGAGCGGTTTTGAAGTATGATCTTCAGCCTAAAACTTCTCTTGACTCTGAACAGTAAACGCTTCTTTTCTGCAAAACACCTTATGAGTTTGAATAGTAGAACGTGAGGAGAACAGGTCACAATCTCTGTAGAAGGAATACATAGAAGAAAACAAAAGAAAGAAAATTATTTGATTATGAACTTTCTTTTAAATTCGTATATTTGATGCATCCTGGAAGGGAAATTCAGTGAATTGGGATAATTCTTCGAAGAAAGCTGCAAAGTAAATTTTTTTCAGAGAATGATATATGTATGGAAGAGATCTATAGAAGAACCAAATGTTCAAGTGCTCGACTTAACTAAGTTTAGACTTACTTAAGTCACTTAAACAAAATGTTAATCTAATTTTTTTAAAAGTTTCATCTAAAATATATGATAAAATCGTATTTTTTAGTATTTAAAGATTCTTCATTTCTAAGTTGGGAGTTAGTAAGTCCTAACTAGAGCTCTAGGCTCAAAAAAAAGGGTTTTAGGCTCTTTTTTATGATACTTTTAATGCTTTGGTTAACTTTTTGGTGTATGAATTTTGTGCTTCTTCTACTCTTTGGACAGACAATACTTGCTTATGATATGGTTAATATGCCTGTTAAAATTAACATCGGTGAAATACAACAAAGACAATATACTGTTTTGTTGCAATTTGAATTTTTAGCCGCATTTCGCTCTTATTTATTCAACAGATACACATCGAGATTCAATTCAAGATAACGCTAGCTAGAAAAATTAGACGGTAGCTGGACGCTTTAGAATCGCTGCGACTAGATTCACAACTAGCCGATAGTTTGAAAGAGAAAGACAAGCTATTGTGGCGAGCACTAAACTGGGCGTTGCAACTAGTCAAACTAACTTATATTATATACACATATTAAGAGAGAGAGAGGTCGAGCATTTGCGAAACCTCTTGTACTTTCAGATATTGTTGGCTTTGTTTATTTATTTGTTTATTTTTCTTTGTTTATTTTACTTATTTTTTTCTCGTTTATTCTTTTCAATTCTTCTCATCCCGTTATCATGTATAAACGTCGCAAAACACAAGACTCTCCCAAATCGGGTGAATCACAACCGCAGACTCTCTGTTCTTGCCAGGCTATCGTCACCGATAATGATAACGCTCTACAATGTGATGCATGCGACACTTGGCTTCACATTGGATGCGTTAACATTTCACCAACGGCATATACGGCGTATCAAACACTAGCTGAACAACAACAGTTCTCTAACTGGTTTTGTCCAAAGTGTTTGAACGATAAAAACGTCGATCGTGTTCCACCTCGTTGCCTGCAAACATTATCCGATCGAATTGACAAGATTGAATATCATCTAACAACTCTTACCAACAAACACGATCAATTCGTTGACCGCCTCGATGAATTGAACTAAAACTTGGAACGTGAGAAGCGACGAAAAACATCATCGTCAAGAATTTGTCAACGGGCGCAAACGATAGAGATGTTGTTTTCCGTTTCGTTCAAAATCATCTTGGTGTCAAGATTGATCCGTCTTCCATCGATTCGGTGTGGCGATTTAAAACCTCGTCAGCAACTAATAATAATCGTCCGCCACTTCTTGGTATCGCGTTTAACGACTTGTCTGTTCGTTCGTCGATCCTAGCAAAGACACCTACTATTAAAAACTCGTCTGATGCTCTTGTCAAAATTGTTTACATCGGTAAACATTTGACAAAAAAACAATCTTTGCAAGCCTTTGAGGCTCGACAACGACAGAATAGGTCGCAAGAAGAACAACAGCAATCAACTACATCATCTGTTGTTAGCAAGGACAATAATCGGCCGAATCAAAATAGTAACGTCAGGCGTGACAATATTAATAACAATAACAATAATAATATTAATAATAATAATATTAATAATAATAATATCAAATTAATAATAACAATAATAATACCAATAATAATATTGTCAATAATACACAACAAAAATCAAAACGTTACCATCGCTTGTCTAACCGTTATTGATATAATGTGACTCAAGCCAAACGAAACGACAATACATTAGCCCACAAACTGAATATTTACTCTTACAATATCCAAAGTCTTGTTAAGAACTTTGGACTCATTAGAGACAAAACTTTCTTTTCTTTTAGCGACTTTGACGTTCTATCTTTTCAAGAAACGAATCTCGACGCGACAATTACTGATGGAGAGATGACCCTCTCTGGTTATTCTCTCGTTCGCCGAGATCGAAATCGACACGGAGGAGGTCTCGCAACGTATATTTCCTCTACTTTACAATTTTCTACACTCGCTTCCTCTAATGTTATTGAAGCTTTTTTATTACATGTACAGTCTCCGGCTGACTTTCTTTTATGCAACTGTTACCGTTCGCAATCTGTTCCTGTTGATTTCTTTCTCGATGTTCTTCACACTTTTGTTTCTAACTATTCGTCTGTCTCTCCTAACCTTCTGTTGTGTGCTGATCTTAATCTTAACTTCCATGTGTCTTCCGAAATGTACAATGTTCAAAGTCTCTCTAGTTCTTTTCTGTGTTCTCTTGTTGATTTTTCTGTCACTACTACTTCAAATACGTGTATTGACTATATCTTTTATCCTTCTTGTAACAATGTTTCTTTCTCCTCTTTTCCCCCTGTTGGCTGTTCTCCTCATTTTTGTTTATCTGCTACTTTTGATGTACCTGTACAATCTCTTTTTCCTTCTACTTCTTATCGTTATGCCTTTAAAAAAGCACAGTGGCCTAAACTACGGCGTGTTCTCTCTCTTATACCTCATGGCCTTTATACGGCTACCGATGTAGATACGGCCGTCCACATTTGGACTGAGCACGTCCGAAAAACCTCCGGTCAAAACTTATGTTGTTTTTTCACAACTGTTCAGCTTTGTTACCAAAATAACAAATAAATACATGGAATTCTGCTTTAACGGAAAAATGTTTAGCCTCCTTTACTTCTATTCAATTTCATTTAGCTTTTTTTAATTACTTAAGATCAACAAAACTTTCCACGGTTGATGATGCTAGATGCTACATATTTTACTACCTTCTTAAACGGATACTAAGCGTTTTTCGCTTTCTTGGCGGAGTAGCGCATGATGCGCTGCGCATCGGTCTGTCCTCAAACTATAAACTCTAGAAATACAGAAAGATCTATGTATCTACGAACTTTGGCTTTGTCTTTTTACGATGTGTTAGCTCTCTGTCGTTTTTCTATTTTATTCCAACTGCAAGAAATTGTGCGTTTCTGGTACACAGTCATAGATATATTACCACTACATGCAACGGAAGCAAAGTCAAGGGACCGAGCGAATCACAGATGAGCGTTACCTTGTTTATTTTTCTACATGACAAAAACAATCCGTATTGCAAACAATGACACGGTAAACTACGGGTCGCGCAGGATTGGTCACTGCTCTAGCCTATAATCAATTCAACTGAGCGGCCATGCATAATTTTTTCGTTAAAACTGCCCCTGTTGACTCTTTTAATATAAATTCATATCATTCAAAGAAAACGTTGTCACTGTCTTTCTATTTAATCCATACAACCTCAAACAAGTTAGGGTTGTCACTTTTTTTACTGAGAAACTGATTTTACTGAACTTTTCTGATTGGGTGACAGAAAAATTTACGCTCTGGTGACTCACAAACTCAGTTCAGTTCAGTTCAGTGGACGATACTAAAAAAAGGAAAGGAAAAAAACTTTTACTGATTGGCTGATCCATATTTTACTCAGTTAGAGTCCAAAAAACGAGCGTAAAGAGGAAAAGAGAATCGAGTAATGGATGGTGTTTTGATTGGTCGATCCATGTTTTATAATGGCGGGATTTGACATTTGACAAATCCATGGGTAATAATACAATGCATATCGATTCTGCATATGCATATTGCATATGGAAGGCGATTGGTTAAAATCCAGCAATAGAAATTTCGTCTGCTCTTTATCAACAAATAGTCAAAAAAAAACGAGTTTATGGAGGTAGTGGAGTATGAATGATGGAATTTAGGCAGTTAATAACCTAGTAACTATTTGACAGTAACAATGACTGAGAACTAACATAATTTGATTCTTAATTTTCATCAATAGCAATGATTTTAGATTTAAATATTTTATTACCTGTTTTATACTACATACGTTTGTTCAATAAATCATTTGCTAACATCAAATATGCATCAAATCGTTTATTTGAAAAAAGACGTGAAGCATTTCGGTGTGTTTCCATGCGAAACATTTTATTATCATTGAACTCTATATTTTCTATTTTAGACGCTTTGTGTAGTGAAATAGAAAAATGTGTTTATATAAATAAGCCCTGGTATCCGTCAGCCAATATTCTGATTCAAGATCGTTTATTAAAATTTGTTGAAAGAGGTAAACGAAAACTAGTACTGTATATTGAATAACATCTAATTTGAATTTCGGTTTAGGACTTGATGATGAACAAGAGGAAAAAGAATTTGGCGTTCTAAATTCTGGTAGATGTTATAAGATAACAAGAGATGAAAATGGTGAAGTACAACTAGTAGCAACAAAAGCAAAAAGAAAAGCAAAAAACGAAGAGAAAGAAACCGAGCAAAAGGAAAAACAAAAAATAGGTAAGTAATGGTAAAGTGCAGAAATCTCAAACTGTCAACAAACCCATACCTCTTTTTCTAGATTTCTTCATTTTATTTGATAAAAAAAAAGAAGTGCAAGTGGTATTACGCGAACTAATGACAGTTGCGGAAGAGACGGGTTACATCCCATCCGAAATCAAGTGTTACAAAGCATTAACAGAAAAACAGTTTGATATTGCATCCAATAGAATTCGACACATTCAGACGGCGTTGTACGTTGCTAAACATCTTCCGCATGCTTTAAAATCGTCTAAATTTTTCTATTTAGATCTACATGTGTCAAGGTGGTGAAACCAACAAGTACATCTCAAACGCTCGAACGTGAAAAAGAAAAGAAGTAAGATAAAACAACCACGAAATCATCCATATTCTCTGAATAAAATCAGCGAAAAGTCATTCTGCACCTTCGATGGAATTCCTCGATCTCGACTTATCCAAGGAAACTTGTATCTGCCGTGGATAAGTCCAGTTATCCAAGCGAATGCGTATCTGCCGTGGACAACTCGGCTTATCCACGGCAGATACAAGTTCCCGTGGATAACTCGACTTACCCACGGTAGATACGCGTTCCTGTGGATAAGTCGAGTTATCCAATGGTCCTTTGCTAAGTCACGATCTGTCTTGGATGTTATCGAAGTGTGTCCGGTTCCTGTTTAGAAGAAATGTTTCTATATTGTTTTATTTTTCAGTCAGGCTGCTCGAAATGATGAAGAAGCCAGTTGTAATAATGAAAGTGGTAGTGGTCGTGCGGTTTGTTGTTCAGGAAAAGAAGAAAGGAACAAAGTATACAACGATGAAAAAGAAAATGACGATGATCAACGGAAACTCGAACGGCGACAGCAACAACTGGGCGATAAACCAAATCGAAAGAAACGGTAACGCGTGCTATACTCTCTTTATAACTTTTATTACTTTTTTTCTGTTCAGGGAAGTTGTTCAATTGATTGATGCATTAACGTCGACCGTGACCGGAAAGAGAAGAAGAGAGTTAACCGACAGACACTGAAATGCTGTTAAACATCAAAGTACTCCACAAAAGAAGCGTGAATTGAAATAGAAGGTGCGTTTCACAAAAACTGCTTGTTTGATGTTTTATGGAGTATTTTGATCTCCTCTCTTAAAAAATATTGTAATTTTGTGTCTATTTTTCTGGTTATTTTTTTCACTTTATGTTATTTTTGTGTCGAAAACGAAAATTTCGTTTAAATTCAAAAGAAAAGAATCTCTCACTTATGTCTGAAAAAAAACTTTTTAATCTAATTAGCACGTCACGTTTCCTAAGCTTTATGTACTTGAGTAGATTAACACATTCAACCCGATGTGACCCACCGGTGGGTCACACTATATTTTAACAAGAAACTTAGTAGAAAACACTTTCTTTCCTTTTTTCTTAGGCAGGAGGTTACATAATGTGTCATCTGCTGTACCTTCGCTATTTTTTGAATTTGACAACAGCTGGAAATGGAGCCCAAAACCAGCGATATTTTCAAATTTTGAATTTTTTCTTCAAGCCGTTCCAGTTTGTAGAGGATACTTCGAAGTATATGTCCGGAAGTTTTCCCAGCTTATTTACATTATTTTGGCTGAGAAAAAAATTAATTACTTAAAAAATGTTGTTAAGTCTTTGAGCACCGGGCTATTATTAAAGAATTTCCTATCTATTCTTCATAAAAACTTGGTCCTTGTCTGGATCGATAGAGAAATGCGCGGAGAACATTTACTATGAGAAAATATGTAAAATATTTTGTTTTTTCTTCCTGTTATTGACTAATTAGTATCCATTAACGTTAAATTAGTTTAGTTTACTAGCTTAAAGTCCCATTTGTAAAATAAAAACTCAACGAAAAAATTCAAGCAATTCCTCATTTGGTACAGAATTTCACGGACTACAAGACGGGCTATCTTAGAAGTTTTAGAATTCATTAGTGAGTGCTAAGTAGGTCTGGTTTCTTTCCCCACGAAATAATTGATCAAGTGTCTTGCTACGACTGAGTCTGTAATAGTAAAACGAGAGGCAGTAATTGAACGAAAAAAACAAGTTCGTTCAAATCTCTGACAGCTGAACGTGATATTTCTGAATATGGTGCAGGAGCTCATTAAAGATATCAGTTTTATATACTTGTTTCTTTTGTGCGTAGTGAATTCAGTAACTTGCTATGTGTTTTCGAAACAAAGACTATGTTGAGATTTCCAGTGGAATAAAAACAGGTTGTAAGATAGCCTATCATGTAGCCCGTGAAATTCTGTATCAGATGAGGAATTGCTTGAATGTTTCCGTTGAGCCGCTATTTTATTACCACCGGTGGGTCTCACTGTGGAGTGTGTTAAATATTTTGCTCGTGCTTGTTGTTCGCTAGATATAATCAATTTCTATTGGATTTTTTTATTTATTTTATCTGTTTTTGTTTAGTTTGCGTCGAATAACTTACTGTATTATCTTATTATTTAGGTAGTGATTGTGATAGCAGTTGTTTGATGTCATCGCTCATGAAAATTTTACTGCGTCCAAAATGTCGTACAATTAAAGCTTTTTGTGAATTAAGCGTGAAAGAATGGATAATACGTAGACGTCGTTTTTGTGAACGATTTGGATATGTTCATATGATAATTGCTCTCATTCAGCACAAGAAGTAAAAATAACTTTTTTTTCCTCATTTATTTTGAAAATATGTTCTTCTCTTTGTTTAGTCGCCACTATTTCTTTTATTTCTCGATTGTGTATATCAGTTAATTGTTCAAAATCCATTTTTATTTGAATTTACAGATGATTTACTTATTGAATTGTATTGTAGTGTTTGTTATTGTTGTCATCATACGTTTTTATTTAACAATGTTGGTGAACGACTTGATGCAATGAAAAATTGTCCAAATCATTTATTATTATTATTATTATCAACATTTGGTTTTTCATTATATTTGTCGTTAAGTATATTGTCGTTATGAACTATTACGTTTAAAGGAATATGATGAAATGATGAAAATTTTATTCCACAAAAGAGCCGTGAATTGAAATAGAAGGTGCGTCTCACAAAATCTGTGTTGTGATCTTTTATGGAGTATTTTGATCTCCTCTTTTAAAAAACATTGTGATTTTGTGTCTATTTTTCTGGTTATTTTCACTTTATGTTATTTTTTGTTGAAAATGAAAGTTTATAGTTGTGTCAAAGAATCGAAAATGTCTGTCGTACGAATACAAATTAACTGTAAAGTGAACGACAAAACACAAAAAGATAAAATCACTGAAATCATTACTAGCAGGAGAGAGATAAGGAACTGCTTAATAGGCTTTTGATTTGAACGGAGATTTTAAGAGATTATTTAAAGAATTTCAACCGTACATATCAATTCTGTATAGCAAATGTATATTCACCTCTCACTCTGTAGCGTCACCACTTGTAGCCTACACCAATTCTAAAGTATAGTAGTATTTAAATCCAGTACATATAGTGTTATAGCTCTCTCCACCAGATATGCAGCAAGGGTTTTATTCTTCTGTTCTTTTTAGAATCACGCTTAATAACAGAAAAACCTGATGAACGATCATCATCAAAGGAAAACGAAGAGTTAGCATCGTTTACAGGAAAAAAACGCTCACGGTAAGCGGCGCAAGTCATTTAATGTTTCTTTTTGACTAAATACGTTAATTTCTTTTCTTTTAGTTCAAAGTGGAGTACAGAAGCAGCAATTACGGAACTTTTGGATTCTAATGTGATCTTTGGAAAACGTGAAAGAAAGCCGCCAGCACTATACAAGTCATGAACTGTTGTTTATGTTTTTTGTTTTGTTTTTCTTTATAAAAAATTATTCTTTTTGTAGATCAGTCAGTACTAACTGTACACTCTTACTTTACCTGCTGCAGACTGTCTATTTTCTAGATACTGATTTCATATCTTTCTGCTTATATTTATTAAGCATATCTTTCTTTATTATTTCATATCTTTCTGCTTGTGTATGTTTCTGGTTATCTTGTTTATTATTTTCTTATTTTTATTCTTTTTGATACTCACATAGAATAAAACTGTGCAAGAACAGCTGAAGAAAAAAAGCAAATGAGTAAGAGCCTCTGTTACCAGCAGTGGTCCTGGAGTTCACTAGTAAACCAGATTATTAATCTTTTGCACGATTTAATTCTTTTAGATGTACTCAGCACTAAAATATGAACAAGATTTTGCTAATCGTTAATATATCAGAAAAAAAGATTTCTACGGTCTGTGTCGACATAGCTCATGGGAGGATGTCGACATCCACTATACAAGATTTTGCTAATCGTTAATATAGCAGAAAAAAGATTCCTACGGTCTGCACTATGGATTATTACATTTCATACACTTTACCATCGCAACATTGCATACATTTCATACAATTCATGCATTTCATACATTTCATGCATTTCATACAATGCATGCATTGCATGGCTATTATTGGTAATCACAAAAACGTTGTGAAACAGTTAAGGTAACCGGCCACTTATTGAGGCTTTTCGTAGGAACATGCTGTGCATTGAGTAAAACTGATCAAGACTTGATATTTTCAGCGTCGATCAGCATCTCTGTTGCCTGTCATTTGTTTTTGTTTTAAGTTACTCTCTGTTACTGTTGCCAAGTTTTCTAGAAAACCAGATTTTTTATTGTAAGTTGTGCACAATGCAAAATTAAAGCAAAATTTTATTTTGGAACTTATTGTACATCATTTGGTAGAGCATTTTGAGCTGATTAAGAAATGTATTTTTAATTTTAAAAAAAACTTTGAGAGTGAAAAAATGAAAATACTTGAAGTACCTAACAAGTCGAAAAGTCCTTCAAGGTTGAAAATAGCTCAATATCTCAGTTCCAGACGACTATACAAATTTAAAATATTTTTTCCTTGTTCAACATTGAAAACTGAATAGAATAAAGCTGTCGGATCAATTTTGAATTTAAAAGTTTGTTCAGCATGGACGTTCGTCGATTAATCTGTATTTCTACCCTATCCGACCGACTACTTCAAGTATAAGTCGCAATATTTTCTCTGCAAATGTATATATTGTTT